CATGCAGATGTAGACACTGAATGTTCCACAAAGATAGGCTGGTTGCCTATACTAGCCTAATTAACTAATACACTCCGTCGAGCTAATGTTATAAAATATATTCGGTATTAATACAAAAAGAGTGTAAAGAGAATTCAAAGTCATACCCGAAAGCTCATAGATTATAATAAGTTGTCCCGTTCGAGGGATTTTTTGAGGCATAACCCAGAGACATTAAAACCAGAAATCCTTTTTTTTTTCTTTTTTTCTTTCCAAAACCATAATATATAGATACGCACACATCCATACACAGGTACAAGCTGCGCGATCGAGCGCGAATTGTTTTTTGCGTGCGCGCGTACGTATGTATGTATGTATGCACGTATATGTACATATGATAATTAATAAAACCCATTGTATATCCCTCTTACAAGCACATCGTACAACTGTTCCGTTCATAGTGTTTGTATATTGACAGTTACATTATTCCGATCCGTAGAAGACGATACTGAACGGAACACCTAGCTTGCAATCAATGTTTACGATGATTGTTACGATTAAGTATTTTGGCTATATTATAATTTTAATAGTTGATAATAATCGGATATATCTGTATACATATAAATACGAATTAACTATAACAAAAAAATAAATAAATAAATAAATAATTTAAAGAGGATACGATAAGACGGATAGAAACCGACGTTTGGATTATATAGTGCTTGTACATTAGCTATTCGTGTAAAACGATAAAATACAAATGCTTCGCTACAACAAAGAATGGAAAGAAAAATGATATCTTTGTAGCATTCACATATTTGCCTTTCGGCATCATCTCCTATGTAAACACCCGTTGATCGCACAAATGGTGCAATTATTTATACGATAAATAACCATAGCCTTTTTGTTCTATCGAACGAATTGTATTGATTTATTGTAACAAATTAAAACGAACGATCGTGAACGGGTAATGTTTATTGTAGAATATTTCTTTCGCTATACCCACTGATCGATCCATTTTTTTTTTGTATCAATTTATTTTTAAATTGGCCGCGTAGAGTACAACTGTTTTGTTTTTTAAAGTATAAAATGGACTTGTTATTCTGACCAAATCCTGCCAGTTCAAAGTTATTTCTCGTTCGTAAGAATTTCTTTTATCACAAGCAAAGGAATTACGTTATTACAGTTCGCAATTTGCCTTTTGACAAAGTACTCGTTTAATTTTTCATTATAATTCTTGTTCCGGTTAGCTATTGCGGTGCGTCATCGATTTTATGACGCGCGAGTGAAATATATTCAAGTATTCGTTATTTATCGCTGCCAACGACAAATAACGCTGCAGTTTCGTATTGCGAGTTCAGTTTTATTTGAAACGAGAAAATATTACTGCCTGTACAGTCGTTTCTTTTCATTGTATCGTTTCATTTCGTTAGACGAATTGAACATTTATTTTCACTTAGCCAATATCGAGTCACTTTTGACCCGTTTTTCCATCTTACTGTTACATCGAAGTTTTACAGTAACTGCCACGAACGATTTACATTTAAAATATACAACTGGTAGTTCTCGAACTCGATAAATCGTTATCACGCAATCCAACTTGTTCCAATGAATCGTCAGCGTTGTCATGACCGAAACACTGACAATATTATCAGTAGACGACGGATGTTCATGCATTTGCGGTAGATTGGACGCAATAAAACGACTGTTAGAATAATAAAATTTCCTAGAATTTTAAGGTTACTTCGAACCCATCGAAACCGAACGCGTGCGGGTAAAATCTCGATTCGCCATGGAACTATTAAAGCCTGCCCCGAAAAGCTAGACACCGCGTAAACATCCGCAGTTCAATTATCAGCTATTTCAATTTGAAACGAAACTTAGCCAGGTTTTGATACACCGGATATATATTCGGGGCAAATTTAACCGACATGCGCGTGGCATTAGTGGCAGACGAATGACGTCACGCGTAGTAATACACTCGACAGGAGCGCATGGCGAGCGAAGTGTCCGCAGAGGCTGCGCGAGCTGGGAACTGCTTTCGATTGTTGGCGGGCGCCGCCATCTTGGTCAGTGAGCTTGCGAGTGGCTGTACGTCGAGGCTGTACGTATTTCGGTGAAACGAGGATTTCGTGCGATTTCGCTGTAACCTTTCGTCCGCCCGTGAAATCTACAAGCATCCAAGATGTCGGAACGGGAGGACAACGTTTATAAAGCGAAACTGGCGGAGCAGGCGGAGCGTTACGACGGTGAGTAGATATTTTCCGGGAAAGGACCCGGCCTGCGCCAAAATGAAATCTACGAAATCGGACAGACAGACAGAGGAGAGCACGGGCACAAAGAGAAAGGAGGTAGAACGCGATCCTCGTGGGTCGCGACCCTATCGCGTTCAGAATTTCTCGCGATAAAACCGTGAGTCCCTCGGAAAACCGACAGTCTTAACTTGTGGATCGGTTCCGATCGGATCTGTCAAAAGTCGTGGAAACGTCAAATACGTCTAACCGACGAGACGATGCGATATCGGGTTTGCCGGTTCGCGACCGGTGTTCCTTTATTTCAAAGGGTGGGCTCGTCCTTCGGTTCTGTCACCGGTTAGCCGGACCCTGTCACGGGTACTTTGAAATTTCGCCAACGGCCGAGAATCGTCCGGTCGATCTTTTTCAGCCTGTACATTGTTTCGTCGAAAGCTGGCCAACGCGGTTGCTAGGCGTACTGTCGAGCACTTTCGGAGCCTCATGGCAGATAACCGGACAAAGTCGGTCCTTCACCGACGCGTGTGATGCATAGACACGGCACGATTCTTACCAATCGCTGCCGGGTTACTCTTTCGACACGTAGTAACGCGTGCTCTGCTCGTGGCATTCGGCCTTGAAACCAGAGAGAAATCACTCTGGCCGATCGAGCAAAACCGATCTATCGGCTGCGTTTTTCCGGTTAATCGCCCTGTATTTTCCTACGGCTCTGTCCGGTGTGTGTCGTTAATTGCCGGCCGTTTTCCCCCATTATACATACTATACACATCGTTATACGTCCGGCGCGGCGACTATAGAAATTTTTATTTCGCTTCTGGCGAAAGCAGAGCCCACGGTGGGGACTCGTAACAGTGGAAGAGAGGAACCGTCAAATCTCATCGTACCTCGCATTTCTCTCTCGTCGTTGTTACCCGCTGCAAATATTTCCCTGCCGTTCCCCGTGCCGTCTCAACGCTTGACATTTCCCGTACTCCGCGGTATTCTATATTTCCATTAAGTTCGCCAGACGATTTCTATCCAATATAAAATCCCCCGATCCGCTCGCTATATTTATTATCCGCTAATTGGCCGATTAAAATCACCAGATAAGCGAGCACGTCTCACGCGCCGGCTATCTGAAAAAGCTTTTCTCCTCGTAATGCGGGAACAACCTGAAATCACGTTTCACGCTCTCGAGGATCAAGGAACAGAGAGCGGTTGAACAAATAAACCGGATAAAACGAGACCGACGAATTTCGTCGTCGCGTGGGCATGTTCATTCAGACAGACACGCGTATTAACCACCATAATCTTAACGGTTTCGGTAATTGCGTACACGACCGCGCCTGAATCATCTCCGCCGATCTCCTACGGTTCTCATTGGCGTAGAAACATTTTTCAATCGAACTCATTAAAACAAATTCGAACCTACTAGTCGAAAATCACAGAATTGACTCGTCCGGGGCGACCGAGTTTCGCTTCTGTGAATTTCCTCTATACCCAGGCACTCGGACCCGTGCGTCCTCCGAGGGTTAAAGCGTAGAGGTACCTGCACATGATCCTTTCGGCGAAACGGCTGGTAAGTTTAAAGAATCACAGCCATGGAAGGGAGAGGAGGCGATAAGCGGCTGGGATGAGACAGAAGAGAAAAGGAAGGGTGACGGACAAATTTGAGGGTTGCGAACGAGAGGGACGGAGATATCACGACCGAGGGTGAGAACGGTGTCGGGGTGAGAGACAGCGCGGTGGTGGGGAGGGGGGTGGAAGAGGGGGCCATAGTAGAAGGAAAGTATTGATCTGTGCTCGCTATATCCTACGTTTCTGTAGACCTCCATCGCCGTATATACCGCGTTTACAGTAATTTTTCCCCGGAACCACCATGAACTTGAAAGCGACGGATGAACCAGGCTTTTATTCGACCGAATGCCGATCGAGCATAAGGGCGAATCCCTGACAATTTTATTCCTATCCTCGGATGATCGAATTCAAACTGTGTTTCGTATTCGCCTAGCTGGTCGAATGTTTATCTGACGGATAGTACGGGGCAAAATGTTACTCGAAACCGTTTATAGGTATTTATTTAACCTGGTTTCGACTCGAGTTCAATCTGACTGTCAATGCCGCCATGACACTACCATTGACATTTACGGGGCAATGGAAACGGTAACGATTGTCGAGTTTAACTGAGAAATGTATGGTTGATTGATTTATAGAGATTATTATTATTATTGTTGTTGTTGTTATTATTATTAGGTGGAGTAATGTTTTAGATGCAGAGACGAAGAGGAGCGATGAAACGAGTTCTGTAACAATGGAATGTAATATTGCTTGATTATTTGGAAATTAGTTGTTCGTCTGATTCACGCGAACGTATAATTTCAAGGAGAAAATTGAGCCGGGACCTCGGAACTCCGGATGTAGAGACCGATACACCGTGTCTTCAATCTGTCTCGTCGCTTCGCGCCTTTGTAATATCTTTTTTCACCCGGTTTATCGATCCTCCGCCATAGCGGTAGAGATTTCGCTGTTACTCGTAAATACGACACAGACTTTGTTTCTTTACCGAACAATGAAACAACCTCTCTCTCCGTGATTCTCAACGGCGAATACC